ATTACAACGCTCTAAGATAGCTACATTATATGCATAATTATATCAATATACACTAGGAAGAGCACAATAAAAGCATATTTAACCCATTATTTATTTCCTCATCAAATTATATCAAAATTAGCTTTTTCTAGACGCTTTAAGCGACCAGGCATTGAGATGAAATGGCGTCGAATTTCTGTAGGTTTCACTCTTGATACTTCATCAGACAACACTCTCCACAGATCAGCCTTGTTTTGTATTTCGTGTTGCCTCAGGTTAACTCTTCTTTTGAGCCATGCCCACACGTTTTCAATGGGGTTGAGATCAGGGGATTGTGGTGGATGCATCCCAAGCTTGATATTCTGGTCTTTAAACCATTTAATGGTTTTTACTGACTTATGACAACTTGCATTATCTTGCACAAAGGTCATTTTTTTCAAGTCAATGCCAGAGGCAATCAGGTCATCAAGAACATGATCTCGTAATAATGAAATATATTTCATTGTGTTCATGTTCCCTTCAATAGGATAGACCTTGATTTTACCTGTGCCTGAAATATACCCCCAAACCATTAAACCGCCGCCTCCGAATTTAAGAGTGCGAATGATTCGATGTTGTGGTGCAGATGCATCAACATGCTTGTAGTACGTCTGGCCGCCCACGGCCCCAAAAATTCTAAATGTGCTTTCATCTGTATAAATGAAATTCTTGAAATCTTGATATGTCAAATCAGAATGGCTTGCATGATAAACCATACGCAATTTCAGATTCTTTTTTGATAATGCTGGTCCTTTAATTTTTTGTTGGATCTGAAGCCGTTTTTGATCAATAATTTCCTAATAGTTGATTTTTCGATTTTTTTATCGAACGATTCAGCAATATATGCTACCCCATCACTACTAACCTGTAGTAAACCAGACCCAAATTTTCGTAAAATGACATTGGTTTCTTTTTTAGATAGCACATTTGGACGTCCAGGGAGATTTTTACTTTTTTTGATCCTGAATCTTCGTACTGATTGTTCACTTAAACCTAACTTCACTGCAAGCTTTCTGTTGGATAAATGGCTGTTGCATGGTGCATTAATGAGCTCAATCTTTTCCTTACTCAATCTTTTCATAGAGGGGTTTTTAATAAAAAACTATATGGCATTTTTGCGAGGGAAAACNAGTAAACCAGACCCAAATTTTCGTAAAATGACATTGGTTTCTTTTTTAGATAGCACATTTGGACGTCCAGGGAGATTTTTACTTTTTTTGATCCTGAATCTTCGTACTGATTGTTCACTTAAACCTAACTTCACTGCAAGCTTTCTGTTGGATAAATGGCTGTTGCATGGTGCATTAATGAGCTCAATCTTTTCCTTACTCAATCTTTTCATAGAGGGGTTTTTAATAAAAAACTATATATGGCATTTTTGCGAGGGAAAACATGGTATTATTCGATTTAATAGTTAAATACAATGAAAAATACATCATTCTGTTGCATTCGGTGTTGTTCTGAGCATTGGCGCAATTAAACCTCACCTTATAATGCTTAATAAAAATCGCACAAGACAAGTGGTATGGTAGTTTAGATCGATATGATACAAATACACTGTAACTCATACACAATATTCCAAGAATTTTTTTCGAGGGCTTTACACGAAGATTTTTATGCTTTTCCTTAATGTTTTTATGTATTTTAGCCCTTAAAATAGTATTGGCGCAATTATTCACACCACTATATTTACAATATAATAACTGAAATATATACATGATTTACATCCCAGAACTAATAATATTTCTTATAAAAAACATTAAAAAAACTAAAAGAGTATTTTAAAATTATATTGAAATTAACATAAGTAAGTTATTTATAATGAATAGGTTTCCAAAATGTTTTTTATGGGCTCACTTTTATTTATGTTTGCAAATAGTTTGTTTAATATTTTAATTGGGTTAATAAAAACGTAAAATTGTGATTTAAAATTTCATAGTATAATATTTATTAATGCATTAAATGCATATTTATATACAATCAAAAACATTCAAATATGAATATTTGATAAAATACACGTTTGTCCTGTGATGTTGAATGTTGTACATTTGTTATAAAATATTTACGAAGATAATTAAAAAAATTGTTTTTCTTTTCAATAATAAGCATATAGTTTTATGAAGGCTAAATTTGTGTAAAACGTTTAATTGCTCTACCAAATTAGTTTAAATTTTTATAGCCTTATCCATTAAAGTTTGTCTAGAAAAAATAATGCATGTTTTCAACATTATACATTTCATAAAATATAGATTGTANCATTAAATGCATATTTATATACAATCAAAAACATTCAAATATGAATATTTGATAAAATACACGTTTGTCCTGTGATGTTGAATGTTGTACATTTGTTATAAAATATTTACGAAGATAATTAAAAAAATTGTTTTTCTTTTCAATAATAAGCATATAGTTTTATGAAGGCTAAATTTGTGTAAAACGTTTAATTGCTCTACCAAATTAGTTTAAATTTTTATAGCCTTATCCATTAAAGTTTGTCTAGAAAAAATAATGCATGTTTTCAACATTATACATTTCATAAAATATAGATTGTAACATTTTATGAAATGTATAAGTGGCCATTCAAATATTAATTTAAAAGTTTGCTTTTGAATGGGAAGGGCCCATTTCAGTTTAGGAATTTTAGGTGAGCAATACAATATGTATTTACTAATGAAATTTGAGATTGTCATTGTAATTTATTTTAATTATGAGTATTCTATCAATTAATAAATGCTGTATATGTGCATTTCCACCATATAAAGCATATAAAGCGTTTTACTACAAATGTATTTTTAGCTTGTTACTTTCTTTGAAGATTACGTGTTTGTTTTTACTTGGTAATTGGTATTTGCGTTATACACTACTACACTACTGAAGTTTTTAAAATATTTAATTGTTAATTTTTTATTCTTTCATCATTGTTGTTTGATATTAGTTCATACTCGATGAATTTTAATTTCAAATATGTATTACATTCTTCAATGCTAACAAGTTATTAATTTATGTTTCTTGTCATTTTTTCAATAGTATTTTACTTTTCTTGGATCAT